AAATCTATATTATATCTAATTTATTTTATAAAATTATTCAAATACTATTAAAATCTATTTTATATTATTTTATAAAAATATTTAAATAATTTTATAAAATAAATTACATACAATTTAATCGGTAAAATAATATTATAATATTTAAAATACAAAATATACTACAGTATTTTAATAAAACTATTAAAAAAAGATAAATAATACTATTTAATTTTATATAGAAAAAGAAAAGACATGAAACAAGAGGTAGAAGGCGGCCCACATAAACTGTTTAATTCGGCCGCTCTGCTTTGTCGTCTCTCTCGTCTCCGTCCTCCTCCGTCGCTCCTTTTTTTCTCCCCCCATTTGACTCTCCAATTTCCTTCTTTCTCTTTCCTTCTCTCCGTTGCATCTTCCTGCACTTTCCATTTACTATATAGAAGATATATATATAGATATATATTCTCTCTACCGTTTTCCATCTGCGTTTCTTCTGAATCTCTGTCTCTCTCTCTCTCTCTTCCATCTTTGTTTTCTTATTTCAAAAAGGAACTCTTACCTCTCCTGTTAGGAACCCAGAACGAGGAATCAATTTAAAGCAAAGAGAAGTACATGGAAAAGACGAGCCAAGAGAGCAGATAAGAGGGTGACCCTGCTTTAGTTGGGTCCTGTACTCACTTTTCTTTTTCTTCTATCTTGTTTATCTCCTCTCATACCATCAAGGTGAAAAACCATTGCTATTATCATGAGTGGGCTGATATTGTCGTGAAGATTGGTTTTGGTTTCTGGGGTTCCTGAGGCGATTCGTTTTCGGGTTCTGGGTTTTGAGTAGCCATGGCGGGTAGCAATGAAGTCAACCTCAATGAATCCCAGGTATTCCGGTTTTCTCTTCCTTTCTTCATCAATTGGGCTTCGATTCCAGCATAAACGATGGTTTTCTAGAATGGGTTTGTTATGTTTAATCGAAATAATTGCCACTAGGAGGCCAGAATTTGGTTTTGACCAGGTTAAGTTGATATTTCTGGGATTTTGCTTTGATTTGGAAGAAATGAACTTTATTCCAGCTAATCTCTTGTTTGATTTTGGTTTTCTTTTACCCTTTTGCTGGGATTTCTTTGGTGTTTGAGAAATCCAGACTGGAGTTAATGATTCTCCTCGTGAAGATTTGAATTTGAAGCGTGTTTTGAAGGATTTTAAGATGTATTTTAGGCCCACTTTGTTTGTTTTCCCCATTTGGTACTAATTTTTACACCCATCATCGAAGGATTACTTGCTGGTCCAAGTGTTCTTTTTTGGGACTAAAAATGATCAATCTTGTTCTGAAAAATCCACAAACAGATATTCTAATTGCTTCAAATTATCTTCCTTTTGCAGATGGTTGTTCCGCTCAATACATGGGTTCTCATTTCCAACTTCAAGGTAGCTTACAAATTTCTTCGCCGTCCGGATGGAACCTTCAACCGGGACTTGGCAGAGTACCTTGACCGGAAAGTTCGGGCCAATACCTTTCCGGTTGATGGGGTTTTCTCCTTTGATCATGTTGATCGAGCCACCAGCCTCCTCAAGAGGGTTTACATGCTAGCTCCTCAGAATGAGGTTCAGTGGGGGATTGTAGATCTAGAAAAGCCCTTGAGCACCACTGAGATTGTCCCGGTGATTATCTTTTTCCACGGTGGAAGCTTCAGTCACTCCTCTTCCAACAGTGCCATCTATGACACCTTCTGCCGCCGTCTAGTTAACCTGTGCAAGGCTGTTGTGGTATCTGTGGATTATCGGCGATCACCTGAACACCGGTACCCCTGTGCTTATGATGATGGTTGGGCTGCTCTTAAGTGGGTCAAGTCAAGAACTTGGCTTCAAAGCGGAAAGGATTCTCAAGTTTATGTTTACTTAGCGGGAGATAGTTCTGGTGGTAACATAGTTCATCATGTAGCTGTTAGAGCAGCTGAAGCAGAAGTTAAGGTTCTAGGAAACATCCTTCTTCATCCAATGTTTGGAGGGCAGGACAGAACAGAATCAGAGAAGAAACTAGACGGGAAATACTTCGTTACAGTACAAGATCGTGACTGGTATTGGAGAGCTTTTCTTCCAGAAGGGGAAGACAGAGATCATCCTGCTTGTAACCCATTTGGTCCCCGGGGCAAAAGCGTTGAAGGACTCAAGTTCCCAAAGAGTCTGGTCGTGGTGGCTGGATTGGATCTCAGTCAAGACTGGCAATTGTCATATGTTGATGGCCTAAAGAGATCAGGTCATGACGTGAAGCTACTTTTCCTAAAGCAGGCCACAGTTGGATTCTACTTCTTGCCGAATAACGATCACTTCTATTGCCTTATGGAGAAGATTAAAACCTTTGTCGATCCCAACTGTTAATAGTCTACGATCTAACCTCAACTCCAAGCAGCATACTAAACAGAAACTTTGACATATTTTCTCTTGGGTTCTTTTTTTCCCCCTTTTGCAGTGATGGTGTGTAGTTAGCTTATAATCTTTGTGTAGTATACTTCTTACTTACCCTCCTGATTTGTGGTGGTCACGTTAGAGAATGGAGATCTTCACCTCTCGGGAGAAGGCCTTGGCTAATGGTTTCCTAGGACAGGAACTGGTGTTCATAAGATTCTGATGTAAAAAAAAAAGGCTCACCCCGATCAATTTCCAATCCAGCGGGGTGATTGGTGAATTGGTCGTACGAATCAGGTAATTTATAAGCACTAATTTAAGAACAGAACAGGGCAATTGGAATGTATCCACCTTGCTTTGATCTTGTATCTTGTGTTCTATTGTATAAATATATATAATATAAATATAAAGGTTTTTCGTTTGCTCTTTCATTTCATCTTTGTATAGCATCTATATGGTCTCTCTGCTTTGTGGTTCAAACTCTAAACAGTTTAATGGAAAGAGAAAAGTTGTACGCATTTCGATCCTTTTGTTTCCCATTAAGGATTTACATCAAAATTCCGAGTCCAAAAGCCAAAAACCAAAGATTGAAAGTGGAAACCCCAACCAACTAGAGTGCATAAAAAATTCCAAGCTTTGGAGCGAAAGAACAATGATTGGAGGCAAGTCTAAGTCGTGGGCTTTCAGCATCTTTCCACATCGTTTTTGATTAATTCTTGTCATTTCTTGAATGGGTTTGTTTGGATTGTAGGAAAATTGGCAAAATGCAAGAAACTGGATCCGTTTGTCACTTTGTCCTGATAAGGGAGACACTCGTCTAAACAGTGGTTGGGAGCTTTTGGATGTACTCTCACCCTCACTGGGACCACTTCGAAAATTTCCCAACAACAAACAAAAATAATATAAATAAAAAAAAGTTTTAAAAAAAAAAAAAGTATTCAAAACCAATCCAAAATCATCATGCCCGAATTGAACCGAATTAATTCAATAAAATACCGACCTAAGACCAATTGTTATATTGAATTTTTGGTACTTGCTGGTTTAGATTTTCGTGTATTTCAAAATTAATTATTTTTGTCAATGATTTTAAGGATCTATTTGTATATTGTTTTGATGTGTTTAAAAAAATTATTTTTTTAATGTTAGCTAAATAAAATTAATTTTCTCATGTACTAATTATAAACTTAAATGCTACATTTGACTTAACAAAATGATACAACTTTATTAACAGATTTAATGCTTAAAGTTATTTTTATAGTGGATAAAATAGATGTGTTTATGTATTGATAGATGAAGAGGAATATTTGTTTTAAGTAAATTGTTTTAGGTTTTCTTAAAAGATTAATGAGTATTAGCTTTTATTGTAAAAAATTAGGTGAAAAAATATTTTAAAATTATTTTTTAAATAAAATA